TTTCTCTTATCCCAAAGGATGAGCAGGTGATTCCCCACAGCCATGGCCCACACTGTTCCTTCTCCCTGCTTTGCTCACGAAGGGCACTGTGATCTGACCTTCTTCCTGGGTCTCAGTGACAGAAACAAAACTGTATATAATCAAGGGCCTGGGGGAGGATGTGGTGAAGCAGGAGGCTATAACCAAGGGATGTCTCAGACTTTCAACTAAACTATCTAAATGCGGTATGAAACTCAAAAACATTTGTGACAGATGTCAATGGCTTAACATACAAAGAATGAGCCTAATCTTTCTGTTTATCGTTGGGAGAATACACTCCCGAGGCACACAGGGGGAAAGTCACTGAAACATACAGTGGCAGACATTTAGAGTTGTTGAGAAATTCTGCAAGTGTCTTCTGGTCCATTCCTTTTGATTTTGTACATGAGGACTGAGTGTTAGGCGACAGTCATTACACATTTTTTTTTTTTTACTTTTATAAGCAGAAACCTCATTTGAAAGGAATTCCTTTTTCCTACTCATAATACCTGGAATAAAGTAGGTATGCAATAGAATATTGTAGAACTGAATTGTATGAGAGAATGAGAATTTTTCTTTCACAATTTTCACTTTCTTCAGACATAGGGTAGAAGGATCAGCTAAAAAGCCATCGCACAAAACTTACGTTGGAGTGGAACCAAGGCTTAGGGCACCAACAGAGAGTGTCAGAGAGAGAAAGCCTCCAAAAAAAAAAAAAAAAAAAAAAGACAACTGCCTCACCCGCTGGTAACAATTTGTCCCAAGATGGCAGCCTTGGGACAGAAAAGCATATCAACAATGATTATTTGCCTCTTTGAAAGATGGGCTCAAATACAGAATAAAGAAGAATTATTGATTAGCTATCCTATAACAAACTATCCCCAATTGCATGGCTTCAGGAACAGTTTAGTTCTAATCTTAATTGAATATCATCTGTTGACTATCGATGATAGGTATTACTATTCTTAAAATGAATTAATTCTCAAAGGCTTATAATTACAGGAAAAAAAATACTGTGATATACTTTACAACCTGAAAAGTATTTGTGGATTCCATATCCTATAAATCACCAATACTTTTAATTTTAATTTTTTTTTTGCTTCATGCATTTTTTTCATTAAGATGAGTCAAACTTTCCTTCTCTATCAAATTACACTAATTTTATTTATTTATTTATTTATTTATTTATTTATTTATTTATTTATTCATTCACCTTTACTCTGAAAACAGTAAGTTAAGAGTAACCACAAAGTGGAGAGATCTGTTCATGTTAGGCTTGTAAAGACAGTCTCATTCCTCTAGAATCACAGTTTCATTCTCATTTCATAGTGTATGCTCTCTGTATATTCACAGAACGGCCCTATCTTAGGACACCAGATAGTTCTTACTCTGTTGCTTTTAGGGTTCCAGCACAGACATTATGACAACTTTTAATGGTTAACACCCAAAACAAAATTTTACCTGAGCTTTATATTTTACCATTGTAAGCTTCATTATTATCTCCAGCCGTTCAAAACACACATTCCATGCAAAACTGAGTTTCCAAAGGAAAGACAAAATTATTTTAAGATAAACAGAATCCAACTAAAAGACCAAAGCTGTATGAAAGCACTTCTCAAGGTGGCAAATGAATCAAGGCCAGTACTGGTTTTCAAATACCAATTGTGAGAGAAGTTACATACTGAAATGGACGTAATGCCACTTTTGGGGGATCAAATGTGGAAAAGGGAAACGGAGATCACAAAAAACAGGCTAAGCATGTGTCAAATGAAGTGTGGAAAGGGCAAACATAAAGATAAAAGCGGAACTCTTAACATGATGAGCTTGCATGATTTATTAAAGACTTAGAAAGAGATCTGAGAACCTCACCATCACTGAAACTATAATTGTGAACTGAAACAAATAATATTCTGGATACATCACGAGGCAGAAAACATAATCCTGCTCTTAATTTAACAGGACCATGTTCTTGAATCTGCTGTGTGTTCAGAAAATCCTATGAGTCATTAAATCACTTGAAAAATAGTAACCATTGTAACACATGTGATAAAAGAGAAAAGGGGTAAAATTAAACTCTGAGAAAGAGATTCTGTGTCATTAATAAATACTAGGCCTTTATGTAATCGACTATCCGCAATTACATGCAAAAAGAAATTACGTTCTGAGAACCTGGAAAGCCCCTTGACCAGTCTGAGAGTCAGGTCGTTTTAAGGGAAGGTTCTTCATTGCAGGCTGGATGGACAAACGCTTAAAAAGCCTTGCTCATGCAAGCAGGCAATACCAAGATGTCCATCCCAGCTACAGGAAACCTGGTTCTAGAAAGTGTATTCAATCCTGTGCCTCCATTACTCAGTGTCTTTAACTGGTGGCACATGCCACAGTCCTGGCTTTTCAACTGAGTGGGGGTCATTTTGTTTGGGTGAAGAAATCTGAATCCCCAAGACTATGTGAACTTTTGACTAAGTTGGCTTTATGTCATGTAGTAAGACATTTTGAAATCACTACATAATGTTGCGTATAATATATTTAGAATATTTAGAATGCTTAAAAGAATATTAATCTCTGCATTTATCAGCCAATTTACTAGGTCACATTAGTTGCCAGGTGTTTAAGGAAGATTGTATTAGCCAGAATGACAAATTTGTTTTATTAGCATCTTACATTTAGGAAATGAAATTTACTAGTTTTATAATTATAGTTTGATCTAAAGAAACTTGATTGATTACATTTGAATTCTATTAAATGTATAAAAGATAAACTAAAAACAGCTTATTTTTTAAAGTTAGTACTTTTATATAAAATAAGATCTGTATGGTGATTAAAAACAGGCTTAAAGAAAAAACATAGCTTCAGATAAAATAATAAAAACAAGCCTTTAACTAAGGTTAAGATTTATAAGTTTAAGTCCTACCTATTAATAAAGCAAAGAGAACTGCAATATTCCTTTCTATGATCAAAATCTCCCCTTGAGCAATAAAAGTCTACTGGCACCAAGAGTAAGAGTAAAAGCAACTATGTGCTGGGCACATATCCCATTGAGGGCCTGTACTGAGTGCACTAAGGAGAAGCAGAGATGGGTTCTGCCACAATAAGCCCAGAGAACTGGGTAGAAAACTAATACATCATACACAAAACCAGAAGGAAAGAAAAGGCACAAACACATAGACCCCAGGACAGCTGTTTTTCTGAAAAAGCACACTGTTTTATAGTTATACATGGTGGCATAGTGATGTTTCAGGTGGCTAAGTCTACAGAAAAGCTGATTTCCAGAAGATAAAGTTTTTATGGCATGAGGAAGTAACTCTCCCTCCATCACAGAACGGTACATTTGATAACTTTCAAATTTCTTAGTTATAATAGAAACACTACTTCCAGAAGTGCATTAAGTATTAAACATATTCTGACTGGCGTGGCCATGTGACCATGTCCCCATTCAAAAGCCTTCCTTATTCAACACCAGATGAAGGCTGGGCCGTTTTCCAAGAAGGACCCATTCTTCAGTAGGTCATATGAAATGGAAAGGACTGTCTTTATAATGGATATGTAATAAAACCAATATTAGAAAACACATTTCAAATTCTACTCAAATGCAAATTATACAACAGATTACCTTTTAGGTAACTGTTTAAAATAAACATTCAGTACTTGTAAAATTCTTAATCCATTCATTCATGTTTCTGTGATACAAGTGGGTAATGAAAGATTCTATACTAATCACTTTCCTTGATTAGCAAAAGAATAAACACTGGAAGTATTTTTAATCTTTAATATTAAAGATATTTCCATCCATTTTTAAAATAATTTTTAAAATTAATCACTAGAAAGAATTTCATTCCACTAAAATGATGGGCTTTTTCATACTCAATTTATGACTTCCAAATGAGTGCTTTCCCACCCAGTTTTTATCTTTACTCCACTCTAACTTGTATTTTAACAGCAATTTAAAAGTCAAGGTTATTAAGTCTGCTTTAAAAATAAATTTCGACATCATGACAGAAAGTCAATTGATTTAAATAAAACAAAATTGCTTTAAAAATATACACATAAACTTGGAAACAAATATACAAACTAGTTTTAAATGTCAAATAATCTAATGATATAAAGCACATATAAAAATATATATACTAAAATAACCAAGGGTAAAAAGAGCAAAATAACCAAGAGGTGGAAAATAACAAAATAGGATTTAGAATATTATAGAAAACACATAAAATATATTAATTAAGAATGGTTTGATACTAAAAATTCAGTAATAATAAAGTGACAACATGTCCCTACATTTCCCATGTGTTATGACAATGTCCTTGTATTTTACATTCTTGGGCATAATCTCCTGAAACCAGCACAAAGTATTCAAGTCTTCAGTCTTGTAAATTGGAGCAGGGGAAATAAGGTAAAGAAGCCTTCTACTGCCATTAAAAAAAATGTCAAACTAAATATCAACTGTGACAAATCTCTTTCTGGGATAAAGCAGGGTATATACCTATAAGTAAATATCAAAAAAAAAGTTAACAATTTTGGTTACTATATCATCAGTAGTTAGTGGTTTGACATGAGATACTTCTTTGAATGAAAACTTGAAATTTTATGCATTATCTGATACTGGTGTGTTAATATCATTTTTCTCCTAAATAAAAAGTATAATTAATATTTCTCTTTTTTAAAGATTTTACTTATTTATTTTATTTTTAGACAGAGGGGAAAGGAGGGAGAAAGAGGGAGAGAAACATCAATGCATGGTTGCCTCTCACACGCCCCCGTACTGGGGACCTGGCCGGCAAGCCAGGCATGTGCCCTGACTGGGAATTGAACCAGTGACCCTTTGGTTCGCAGGCTGAAGCTCAATCCACTGAGCCACACTACCCAGGGCTAAATATAATTAATATTTCTCTTAATATTAATCAACTCTTAATACCACATAATAGCTTTGTGATAAAAATAACTTTGTGATAAAATTTTAAGTAATTATTAAAATGACTTACTTTCTTCTTTCTTGCTCATAATGGCAGGCAGGGTATAAATCTGAAAAACAAGGTAAGTCAATCAGTTACTTGCAGTTAATGACCTGGTACAGATTACCAAGTGATACTAGTACAATGACAGTACGAGGGAGTGTCTTGATTTCAAGGTCTATGACTGACCCATGGTGCCATTTTCCTACCCTGTAACCAGCCTTGCTTCCCATTTTTTTCTATCCTGGCTGTCCTGCCCTGGGTAGAGTTCTACCTCTTTCCATCTGGTTTACAAGTCTTGTTCTCTTTCCCAACTGTATAATAACCCTTCTTGAGGAAATATCTCATGATGTAATACTTGATTGCTCTTTACTCCAATTATCTGCTTAGTGTTTTCTTCTCCGCATGTACAATCCTAAATTATAGCTGCTGAGCTATCACTCTGTCTTCTAAATCTGTGCTAGGTAAGGTCTTGCCTCTCAATTAGTGGTGAAAGTCAGGTTGTTTTGTTTAATTTTCAATCTGCCATTGACTGCTATTTTTGTAAGTTATAATAAAATTAAAATATCATAAACATAATAACAAATAGATGCAGAGTTCAAATTTTTTATTAAGTTCAAGAAATAGGAAATGACTTCTTTAAATTGCTACAATATTTTCCAGATATTTAATCATAATTTCTGCATTCATCTCATTGTGGACCAGCAGCCACGTGAGGGATGGTCTCAGAGTTTGGAGACCACAGTTTGTGTAGCTCTGTTGTTAAGCAGGTACTTTACACAAGGTTGTTCACAGGTTCTTCGCCATCTAAGGGACGGAATGTGACCTCGTTTTGCTTTGTGTGCTCATCCCCCTAACCATCCAAGGGCATGTTCTCCATAAAGAAAACAGATAGTGATCAATAATGTATTCCTTTTAACAAAGTTCTCCCTAATAATTGTAATTTAAGTTATCATCCAACATCAAAATACCTATTAGAAAAATAAGGATATGCATAAGGACAAAATGTCAACCCACAGGGAGTTTTATCAAATAAGACTACAGAGTTAGTCCTTACCCTGAAACTTGTTTATCACACTGATCACAAAGCCTAGTACAAACCTTGCAAAGAGTGGACATTCAATAATTATTAATTGAATAGAATAATTGAATCAGTGCAGCCAAATTAATGATTATAAGAATTGAAAAATAATAATTTTAGGGTTTTCAGTTAGTCCTGAAAGTCCTCCTGAGAAACAAACTGTGAAGTTGGTGTTGTGTCAATGAATGACGCAACCTAGAAAAATAGTAAGCTTCTACTCTCTGATTTTCTATTTTAATTTTTCAAATATACTACAGATACAAAAAAAATCCAGATAAGATCTTTTTTTCAAATTACAAAGTACTTCGTAATTATTAGAACAATAAAACCTAAGTGCAATGTGTTATATTCTTACTGGTTCTTTCCCATCCATGGCTTCGAGCCAGAGTTTCCGATTAGCTTCTGAGAAGGCCTGCAATGTGATGATCCCATGCCTGGTAAAAACAAATATTTTCTACATTCAGTGTGTTCTTGTTATGTCTTTATGCATTTATAATTTTTAAAATTTTTATTTAACTATAAAATAACATCTGAAGAAAAATCAGGAAAGAGAAAAAATAGAAAACAGAGAAAAGAAAAAGATAGAAAAGAGAAAAAAAGAACAATAAAAAAAAATGACCTACAGGTATCTTTCAGAAAAATCACTGTAGACACCAACACACACACAAATGATCACAGGTAGTAAAATCACATAGTGTTCTAGGTACAGGACTGTCTGCAGGAAGTAGTTTCAAATTATTTTCTCTGAAATGACCAAAAAGGATGCACCCAGGTTCAAAACCAACTAAACATTCTACAATATGAGAATAATTCAGATTATGACCCCAATGTGACACAATCTAGTCACTAAAAATTACAATTAGTTTTTAACAATATGGAATACCTCATATCATAACTAGTTAATTATTAAGATATTAGAACCAAAATGTTTATCTATACCATGATCTTGACAGTATTAAAATTACTTAATTTAAAAACAATGACCTCCCATGCACCCATGCTGAAATAGTTACTTGTTTGAGGATATATTTCAAGAGCGAAAGAGCAAACAAAGGGAAGAAGGAAACTGATAAAAGAAAGAAAAAGATGAAATCCAAAAATGGTGGAATTAACCTAATTAAGTGCAGATTGTTCAGAAAATAAATTTAAACAGGAAATCAGAGGGCTTTGTGAAGAGGTACATCAAGAAGGAAATTTCATTTAAATATTCTATGTTTAAAAACCTGGAATGACTTAAAACTATGATAAAGGGATATATCTCTTCTATGAACAGGGAAATAGATCATTAGATAGAAAAGAAAAAAATTATTCAATATATAAAAATTAAGATAACTTTGAGTCAGTGTGACAGCACCAATGATAAAATAACAAAGATCAATACTTGCTGGCTATTTATTATGTGCCAGGCCCTGTGTTGTTTCCTTTGAAGTGCATACTTATTATCCTTATTGTACAAACAAGACCACTGAAGCAGAGCTTAACAAGGTACCCAAAAGTTATTTAAGTAAAAAAGGCTGAAATAAAAAACAAAGAAATCACTAACATGTTGATGTCTGCCTACACAGAAAGTCAAGAAGTTCCTGCCACAAAACTCTTAAAAGCAGTAAGAAATTCAACAACTATGCTGGATATAGATTGGCATATAAAAGGAAATAATAGCTTTTCTATACACTAGTTTCAACCATTTAGGAGAAAAAAAGTTTCTACTAGTGAAAAAGAATTCTAAAATTGTAAGAAGAAGAAAATACCCAGGACTAAATCTAAAAGAGTGTGAGTGTGTGTGTGTGTGTGTGTGTGTGTGTAAATCTTCAAGGAGAGTTTAATTCTCCATCAATTATTTTAATAACTTTAAAATCTTCAAAGGAATTTTTTTTTGAAGAGAAAAAGAAACTTAATAGGTGGATCCATAACATATAAGAACACAGAGCCAAAACAGGTAACACAATTTTAAAGAAGTATAATGGGGGCCTTGTCCTACTAAGATAGTCACAAGCTGTAGTATACATAAGCTATAGCATATCTCATAAGATATATCTGAGTACATATGTTATATCTTAGTATATACAGAGCCCACACACAAACCTACAGTACTGAGAAAACATGGTAGCAATGCATGGGGAGTAAAACAGACTTTGGAAGAGAACAAAAATCAGGAAGCACACGACTTCTCATTTTGTTTGTATTCTGCTTGTATTGATCCAAGAAAGAAGTAGAGTTAAATATTCCCCCTGTACACACGATTTATATGTCTTTCCCAATATCCCGTGGCTACGAATGTCCATGCCAGTGCTTTGCACAGGGTACACGCTGAATTTCACTGGCTGACGGAGCTGATGACATTCCCAGCCATGTCTATGATTCCTTGGAAGCAGGACCCCAAGGCTTCGCAGAAGTCTGCACACACACTGACCCCTGAGCAATGTTGTCAGGCTCCTTCACTGTGCGGAGGCCCTGAGTATACAACGTGCGCTTTACCCTGATGTAGTCATTTCTACTGATTTTCCAGGTTCTTCTTTGAGTTGTTACATTTTGTTAACATTCTGTGTCTGATTTATTTTTCTGAAAGCATCAAGCAATAGTTACCTGTTGATTATGTAAAAGAATGAAATAAACATACACAGTGTTTTTAAAAAGAGATTGGAAACCTAGCAGTTGTATGCTGTTTCATATTTATATTTAAACATAGAAACAATTAAATATTAAGAAAAAAGAAAAGCTCAAACCTTTCCACTACTTCTATGTCAAAGCAGAATCGTTTGTCAATTGAATCTGTCTTCCGTCGGATACAAGATTTTAATTTAAACATTTCTGGTGAGCTGGTAACAAGGCCGTTCTGAAACGAGGCGGGAAACATGTTGACACATGACAAGAGGAACTGGAAAATATTAAATCTTCCATCTGAAAGTGCTGCACTGAAACCTAAACTTAAGAGTATAGGTTATGCATCATGGTCATATAAACAAGACTTTTTGCCTGGTGTTAACTGCCCAGTTATGATATACCAAACTGTTCATTAATAAATTAATTGCATTTACATGGTTTATTCAAAACTTTCATGACATGCCTGCCCAGTACACTTCAACATATTTACCTATAATGCTAACTTACACTCTAATGTACACATCTTAAGTCTCCAGATTTAGAAAATGTATGAAATTAGCAGAGTTATGGTTATGTCACAATTAGATATCCAGAATGTTTGTCAGGATACAACACTGTTGTTCTGAAGCAAAATTTCCTAGATTGCTAAGAGATTAGTAGTGTGCGTGTGTGTGTTTGTGCGTGTGTGTTTGTGCGTGTGTGTGTGTGTGTGTGTATCTTTGCATTACAGCCTCACAACATTAAATGACAGCTGCCTGAAAACCTCACGAGAGTTATCAGAATTAAAAACGTTCTAACATAGAGTTCTCCAATGCTGCTGCTATCACACGTACCATGAGATTGCTTTGTTGGTAACCAACTGCTGCTTTGCTACCGACATTAAAACTGTTTGGACAGGATCCAACATAGGCTCAATAAATAAACATTTTCTTCTGTATCTGAGATGTCAGTCACCTTTAAGGGGAATGTTTGCCTAATGTCTGATTAGTTCTATTGTATATGGTTGCAAATATCATAGATTTGTAAACAGAACTTTGGGTGGTTTTGTTTGATATTAGGTCACTGACTGTCACGTAAGCTAACTTTCTGGTAATATCTTTTCTCATGAAAGCTTTAGAGTAGAAACTAGGTGTGATTATAGCATTTAATGACTTCTCATGATGGTGACAGTCTAAGGTTTCTTTTTCTCTGGTATGTTGTCCTTTATTTTATGTCTCTCCATTTAAACTATTAGACTAATGAATGCCCAAGCACAATAAGTTTCAACTACAAGCATGTGTCTAAGGATCATTTACCTGCCATGATCTACACGACAAATTAGCTGGGCGTATCATTTACTTTTACCAATTTGATTTTCTAATGTGTTAAAATAAGGCTAGAGTAAGTCATCTTTCAAGTACACTGCGTTCCATTTTGTTCACTAGCCATGCAAGACATTCAGTGGCCACTTTACTTTTGGGGTAAATGAGCACTGACTGATTTCTTCTGAGAAACTTTGTTGGCCAGCATTTCAGTAAAGAGTATGCAATGCAGAAGATGCAAGGCTTGCAGGGGCAAAGGCAGCCTCCCATACAGGTCACCTGGGGGCAAGAGAGAGAATCTCTGGACCTGGTCCAGCCACTGACAGTCCCTCCTGGGCTACTGGTCAAGCACCAGCAGAGTAAGGAATCTGCTACTAGGGCTATGAGATGAAACCTCTGTAGTCCATTGATGGGTCCCTACCATTAATTCAGCTGCTTCTAAACATTCCATGGCCATGGAAAAAGAAAATCCTGGTCACTCTTTTTAAGTTATCATGGTCTCTAAAGTGAGAGAAACTTTTTAGTTTTAAAAAATTGCATCCATGTTTATTAGGAAAGCAATCACATGTGATTTTTTGTTTGTTTTACTTCCACTTCTTAAATAATAACCAGTTAAAAATAAAAACAAAAGACAAAAAACTCACCATTTTCCCACTGGATTTCATCTCTGAAACACTCATGGTGAATGTTTTACTGCCTTTATCATATGTACAGTAATGTTTAGTCCATGTAAAACCAAGTGGTCCTAATGTAAGGAAGCAAACATTACAGATTGTTAAGAAATGAGTGGTGTCCAAGTTTGTACAGTTGTGATGCTATAATACATAACTGAATATTTCCATAAATGATTTAAGTTTGAAACTTTTACTGAATGAAAGTGAGAAAGGCAGGAATGGAGGGAGAGTGGTACAGGGTAGAGTGTCTCTCAATCAAACAACTGGGCTTTACTTGCAGCTCCAACACTCTGTAAACTCAAGTTACCTTAGATCTGAACTTCAGTTATCTCATCTGTAAAAAGTGTTATAGTTATACCCCACAGGAGCAGGAAGAATGAGAAATAACAATCTGAGTTACTATCTGGTCTCCTGGTCTCACGGGTCTCGTTCTTATCCTCTATTCTGGAAACTGCCAGAACTACCCTGCGAAACATGCAGCAAGGTCATTTTACCCCTTGGTGTAAAACTCTCCAGTGGTTGCCTATATCACTCCAGAAAAATACCACAGAACCTGTGACTATCCACAAGGCCTCTCATTATGTATCTCACCTCGCGTACACTCTGCTCCAGCTACACTAACCCCCTTGCTGATCCTTGAATGCAGTAAATGCATTTCCACCCCAGGGCATTGGAACTTGCTGTCCCCCAGGCTGCTCTACTCTTCCTTCAGATATCTGCATTGTCCCTTCCTTCAGGCCTTTTCGTAAATGTCACCTTCCTGATGCTGCCTTTCCTGTAGAGACAGCTTACATAGCAATACCCTCAACTTGATATTTCTTGCTTTACTTTCCTGTTTCACTTTCTTCTAAGCAGTTATCGTTGTCTGAAATATAACTAATTTTACTAATTTAACCTATTCATTGTTTGTCTCTGCCACTAGACTCTAAGTCCCTAAGAGCAGGGAAGTGTGCTGTTCTGACCACTGGTATATTCTTAATCCTTAGAACAGGGTCAGATATATAGCTGTCGCTCAATAAATATTTGACAAATAAATAAAGAATGCATCAGTCCTCTTTCTCTAAGAGTTAATTGACCTAGGAGTTATTTCCTCTTACCACTGATGTGAAAAAAGTGAATTCAAATAACTTCTTAAAATGAAGAGGTTTCACTGCTTAGAGTACAAGAAAGTTTTATTTGTATAATCCTCCCTTTTTCTCCCCCTGAATACTGTGCAGCCCTTCCCCACAGGACACCATATGACTGTCCTACATTCTTCTGAAGGGATGGGACGCTGCTGCTTCATCACGGTGCAGGGATGCATCAAGTGTTCAGTTTTTCCATGACCAAGTGGGGAGACCTTCAGTTTTCACACAGGGAAGCCAATTATCCTCTACGCAAATGTCACAGTGGCTGAGAGGGTTGAAAACGGAGCTTGTTTTCAAAGTCATTTCTCTATCAAGGGCCCCTTCCTGCTTAACACCTGGATCTTTCTAGCAACAATTATGTACAATATTATTCCTGACTTTGTTTCATAACCATATATTTAAAAGCAAGAAATGGCAATGTAGAGGTGTGCCTCTTAAGAAGAGTGTTTCGTGAGCCATTTGGAATTTTTTTTTTCTTGTACTAACAGTGCCCTTGGTGTCGTGGCTCTAATCACCTAAACCACTCCAGATTTTAAATTTATGGGGCTCAGCCGTACACTTCGTAATCTCAAAGGATTATTGCAATGAACTTCAGTTCTGTTTGGGGAACATTTTACACTATAATACTTAACAATACTTGTTGATAATTTGGTTACATGAGGAATAAAATACTTTATAGCCTTAGAGCTGATTAGCGGGAAGTGGCGGTATAGAAATCCCTACAGTGACTTTACTACGTAACGATTTATGCAGCAATGCTAACCGTAAATTTGAAGTAAGGCTGCTGCAATGTTTTGATGACATTTTAGACTTCAGTTCTTTTTTCCCTGCCTCCATCATAAGTTCAGAATCTCAAGCATTTAATCTTCAAGCCTGCTGCACACACGTGCTGCTTTCTTTAAAGTCTGCCTGGCACCAGGCCAGGGCAGATGTTCTTAGACTAGCAATTCTGAAGTCCTTTAAAAAAAGCCTTGGAAAATAAAAATTTATTATAGCTCTAAAGTTGCAAAATAAAACAAGTTTAATTATCCAGTCATCATCTGAGGTTGCTGAGATGATGTTTATAAAATTGAAAGAAATGAACAATCATGGAATACCTACTAAGTGCCAAAATTGTATCTAAGAACTTTTAAGTCAGACATTATAAATATATATATCATTTTACATATAAGCACATAAGGCATAAGAGCTGCAGATGGTACTGCTTTCTTTATCAATAAGGCATGTGATTGGAGTTCATTTTTAGGGAATAATAGTTCTCAAGAGTTGTTTTAAGAGTTAAATGAGATGAATATAAATTGCAGAGTAGTAAGAGCTCATGGCAATCATAGTAGCATTATTATGCACCACTACTGATAACAGAGACATTTTTACACACATTATCTCCAGTTCTTGCAACCTGATTACAACATAGTATAACTCTCCTTCTTTTGTAAATGAGAGACTGAGCTCAGAAACTTGTTCACCCAGAATCACCTAGTTAGCAGATGGCAGGCATGAAATTCCAACATAGTTCCGCCTGACTTTTTGGAACCCATGCTCTTCCCGGCTCAACTCAATCCATTAGAATGCAATTTAATGTGTGCCTAGAGGTGGGTAACATAGAAGCCACATCTCCAGATCAAGTGGAGCTCTGCGCCCAAACTGCAATCACCTGCACCGCCCCATCATGGCCGTCTCTATTAGCCACTCAGTTTACAGCTCTGATAGTCACTATTGATCACTGGTTGCTGACTGAATGAGTTTTTGACTTATGTCTTCAACTACAGAAGAAACACCCTGAAGCCACATTCTTCATCTCATTTTCTGTTTCCCATAGAACTTATTCTCAGTGATAGCAACAGCACAATCAATATGTCTTAGTGGACTGATCAAATTTTTGTATTATAAAAGTTTTCAAAGATTCCCCGTGAAAAGGGGCTTTGAATATTTGTCCCTTGCGTAAAAATAATTCTGAAGGCATATAAATCCTTTAATTTTTATTTTTAAATTCCCAGGTGAGGAGAAAGAGGAAGGATGGTAAATGGAAGAAGGAAAAGGAAGGAGGGAGGGATTATTATCGGGGCATGAGAACACTTTGGAAGGTGAGGAATATGTTCTTTATGTTGATTGTGGAGATGGTATCACAGATTCATACTTACAGCAAAATTTTTCAAACTGTACATTTTAAACATGTGCAATTATTATATGTCAATTGTACCTCACTAAAGCTGTAAAAATAATGCAGGGGGGATAAAGAGAAAATTGAGGTAGAAAGTGTCTTGGGACCAAGAAGGCAACTTAAAAAAAAAAAGAGGATGCTAAAAAGGAGGGAGAGGCTGACTGAGAGCCTCAAATGCACATACTGCCAAGAGGCCACCACAGGAGGGCCATTAGGGCTATTATTTTAACATGTGAAAACAGACTTGTCAAGGTAGATAGTTATGAAGGAAAATCCCAGAGCCCAGATCTCCCGAGCCAGCTGCCCTCCACCGTCTAGTCTATGTCTGCCGAGTCTGCTGGATAAAATCGTTATTTGCTTGTGTGCAACCAACCAACAAATGAGCATCGACTGAGCATGTCAAACATAAAATGGGTTGCATTTTAGTGATCATGTTTTTCTATGTGAAAAACTTTTACAGATGACCTGATATATCCAGCTTCCGCATCCCAGACCCTTTAACTATGATATTTTAACAACCAAAACAATTTTATTATTCTACTGTCTACTGACAGGGAAACTTAAGAGCAGTGGTATTTCATGTCATTGGTGGGTCTCAATAAATGAGAGAAGTGTAAATAAGCATTTCAAATCTTTCACAGAAATTTGACATTACTGCAAAATCCAAGCACACGCTTCTGTGTCCATGACAGATTGGAGATAAAAAATTGTCCCTTCACTATAAAGAGTATGAGAATGGTGCTTTAGGGCATATCTGGTTTGAAATAGAGAGCTAATTTAGTCAGACTGGTTCCACTTAGTGATAAGCACCACACAGATAGGACCCCGGTTAAACAATTTTGAACGGCATTTGATTTATTTCTGCGAGAAAAACTTTCTTAGCATGAGGCAATTACAGCAGTGCTCTATTGGGTCTGATGCTTTTTTCCTAACCTCAAGAAGCGAAGGGTGCCAATCCGACATTACACAATGCCAATTTTACTCCTGAACACTGACAAAACACAGAAAGAAGTCAATGAAATTACACTGCTGAAGGGGAAAACTATTATTGTAGTCACCAGGATGATTCGTCTTGATAAAGGCTTTGATTTTTAATTTTCCATCAAACTTTAAATTGGGATTAGCCCTGGCTGGTGTGGCTCAGTGGATTGAGTGCTGGCCTGAGAACCAAAGGGTCATCAGTTCAATTCCCAATCAGGGCACATGCCTGGGTTGTGGGCCAGGTCCCCAGTAGGGAGCGCGCAATTGAGAACCACACATTGATGTTTCTCTCCCTCTCTTTCTCCCTCCCCTTCCTTCTGTCTAAAAATAAATAAATAAAATCTTTAAAAAAAATAAGTTGGGGTTAGATATCACAATTAATATAATACTGAACTCATGTTACCCTATCATCAGTAAAAGGCTGTCGGTTTCAAGTTCAAAAAATATACCAACTTAGAGATCCTGATGGTGAAATGTGAAAAAACTTCCTCACTTTGGTGGTGATGATGGCAGAACAGACTAAATACAATAAAGCCGTAAGGGATTTCAGTCTTTGTACTTGAAGGAAGAAATACTAACCAGGTCACATCTCATGGAAACAGAATGGTAACAGTAAGAGACATTAAATTATGTCTTTGTGACTCACGTTTCTCCTGGACATAAAGATAGCCTTCCATCGTCCACTGGCTGGGTGGTCTGTAATCTTGGTTGGCAGATTTCATCCTTTGCATCAACCGCTCTACCTCTTGTCGAGTGCTTTCAAAATTGTTCCTTGTCTTTAATAAATAAAAATTACAATCATTCATCCTTTCCCACCTGTTTTGGGGAACTTAGAGCCTAAAGTTTCAAAACTGCAACTTATGCAAAAGATAACCTTGAGTCTTTCAGCACTACTCACCCACATCCATGACCCATGCTGAGTCCTGTGGCTGATTTTGAATGGCTTTAGTGAAACTTCTGCATGTTTCTCTTTGAATTTCTCAATCTCAATCCCAGTGTGTGTGTGTGTGTGTATGTGTTGTATGTTTCTTCCTGTTACCCACATTAACATTAGTATTTAGTGGCTGATTATAGCACTTAAATATATAATATTTATTAAACAGGATTTTATAATCACTAATACCTAAGGTAAAAAAGCAGATACATAGGGACTTACATTTCTTTGGGGGGATAAAAACAAACTAAATTGGCATATTTTTAAATATATACCACTTATTTAAAAAAAAAAAAAGTTCATTGCCCTTATTCCAAACACTTTTGTAAAAACTTCATTTAGTTTGGTTTCCAGAAATCCTAACATAATTATCAAGAAGTCTGTATATAAATTAACTCATGAAAATGAATAGGTTTCCAAGTTCTAACTTCTATTGCAACAAATAGTTTACTCAGGTTACTGCAAATTTACTTAAAGTAAAACATAAGAAGCATAAGGCTTTTCTCTATAAAATCTTTTGCATTCAAGCCACATTATCTCAACAATACACAAAAATCATCTCTAAGTCTAACTCTAAGACTTTGTTTTGGCCCATAATAAAACAAGTGAATTTCCTTAATTGCCACTTTTGCTTCTTTTCAACATAAGGATTAGAATTTTTTCCTATTCCTTACCTTTGTCAAATCCCAGGAATCTTAAGATAATTGCATTTAATATGAAGATAAATTGTAAAATGCTTTGACTTTCATATTTTTCATTTAATATTTACTAAAAAGCCCCAATACATTCCATATTAAAAAGTAATGGAATGAACTTCACATAAATTCATTCTGCAAGACAATGTAGGTTAAATAAAAAGCTAAAATTCAAAACACAGGTAGTATAATTCCAATTACATATTGCTCATGGGACTCTGCAACTCTATAGCTCCATTTATGGGATATCTTCACAATGGCAAAAATCAGACGCACACTGGAAGCCAAGCTTTTTATCAAAAACTAAGTGAGAGCGTTTCAAATTTTAGAAGTAATTTTCCTTTATACAAAACCCTGAGCAATTAGAACTTCATTATTTGTCAGGTTTGATAATAAGGAAGTGGGTTGGCTAAATTTTTTTTAATGTGGTGTTCAGCAGCTGCAAATCAGACTTTATATAACTATGTATTCAGACATCAAAATGATTGATTAGACAACTTTAGAAAATAAACCCTGATATAAATATAGGATATTTGTAAATAATTCTCACTTAACCTTTGAAACAGTTACTTTTGAATATTGCAAACCATGTTGAAATTTATTATTAGAAAATAATAAATATCAGATTATTATATGCGATTTCACACTGAGACGGAACCTTAGAGTGCTAAGGTACAACCTTCATTTCATAAACCTAGAAGTGCTGCCCTCTCAGAAAACAAAGGTTAACCAAAGGTCACCTAATGGGAACATTGGGTAAAGGTAAAAGTTCCCAAACTTCCAGGTATCTATTCCTTAGTAGTTCTTATTTTTGTGGTGTTTTCTAGTATGCATTTTTAAACATTAAGATCAGCTCTTTCCTGGTGTACTTTCAACCAGCAACTAGAAACCAACACATTTTATAAATAAATTTATAATGTGGCTTTTCTAAATTAGGGAGGCTTTACTGTACTTGATGAGTTCTGGAAAGACTCCAAAGTTTGGCTTGGTTGGAACTTAGCTGTGCTATGACCATCTGGTTCACTAAGGAGAGGCAGTGAGGACAGGTATAGTCTTACATTCTGCAAGTTGAACTGCAGCTGTTGTTTATATGGTGCAAATTCCTGGGCGAGTTCATATCCCTCATGGTAAAAAGTAAACAAACCCTGAAGGAATGACAAAAGCTGCAAAAATAGAAATAAAAAAGAAACCATGAAAACACGTTTAAGAAAATGATCATCATATACAATAAAATGGGGAAATGACACTCCATCCTAATTCCTCAGCTAATAAATTTTCAATCTGTTTGGCAAAGCTGGCACTAAAATTATGGATGTGAAACAGAAAACACAAAAGCTAATTTCTACTTTTTTGAAAACTGTGATTTAATTTTTGGGTCTTGTCATAGACAGCTGTCATATTAACTACTCGAATATTCAAATGCATTGAATGTTGAGGAGAGACCTTTAACAGGGATAAAGACCAAAGAAACATATGTCGTATTCCAGAAGAGCTTCTAACCAAAACAGGGAAATAAAACCTGCAGATGTGAAGAAGACTGAAACAGTAAATTAGAGATAAGAGTTACCCAACAGAAGGAATTAGGGTTTGGCCAGGTGAAATTAAGAAAAATATCACAAGGTGGCAGCAATGGCTTGGGAATTGAACAGATATTTTCCTATGGCGTGAAAAGGCAAAGCAAGGTAAGAATTGGGCAGAACCAAGAAGACGGATACAGATTTTTCATATGACAATAAAAGTAAAATCTTCTTCAGAAAACCACCATATCTATAATCCTACCCTGCTTATGCGCTTATTTACAACGTTCTTATTCATGCAGTAAGAGTGGCTCCCCACACAGTTACAGGACACAACTGTTAAGTTCTAACTGAAAAATTATCTAATATTTTTTTCATTTTATTCACTGTCTACCAATTCAATTTCTTCCTCAACCTTTTAAAACAATAAAATTAAAAATATTTTTTATTGTGGCTAATGATTTTCTAATTCAAATAGCATAATACACCTATTATTTTATTTTTTCATTTTTTAAAATTTATTGTTTCTATTATTATTTCCTTTTTTTAACTGTTGTAAGCTATTATTTTAAATTAAGGAAGAAACAATTTGAAAACTTTTATATCTGGGGAAGCAAGAGAATTTAGCTAAATATTGACTAGTATGTGTGTTGGTTCTATGTGAGACAACAGATAAGTGCTGGTTTTATATGAAAACAATCTAATTCTTTTCCTCCTATAATGATTCAACTTACAGTATTATGTTTATTTCAGAAAGCATTCAAATTGGTTTAAGTTGTTATCTTTTAAAAGCTGTGCATCTCTTGTTCAACAGTTCCTGACAATGTGTAAAAATACATTGTTAATTTTAGAATAATTTTATACTGACAATTTTACAACTGAAAATTATCATCAAAACTAAGTAGTCAGTAGATTATCCTTTACTAAAGTGATGCTATGATATTTCTCAAATTAACCACTAACTTAAAATATATAATCTGCACATACTGTGGCCCAATTAAAAAGAACTGTTACCTTATAAAATGGTATTAGAAAACACCTTTAATTAGGGCTTGGATATGTAGATTTAGAGGTTTTCAGAGACAAAATAAGAAAATACTTTTAAAATGTAAAGAGAATATTGGTGTTCTAAATAGCTGAATGATAGGCGATGAAGTTGTTAAAAGGAGTACTGTTTCATGTTTTATAATTAGTCCAAAATTAAACTGTCTGATGAACTGGATACACTACAAGGAAGACATTATTCATATATCACCCTAAGGCCAAATAATTCAATTAAACTTATATAAAGGATACTTTAAGAATATCTGTAATAAATCTTCCTATAGAATACCCAATTCCCTGAGATCTATCTAAATAAATAACTCTATTAGCATCTTTTACAGAATTCAGATACACTAAGTAGCAGATAAATATGTTGTAATCTCACAACACATGCAGCATACCCACTAGAGAATGTACAATTTTTTCGAAGGTACAGAAAAATTATTTTCAAAGAACCACCCACCTTATCCTTTTGTTCCACATTTACTTTGGAAACAGGTTTTGGGGAAGTTTAATAAAGACAGGATGCATGAAATTATTGCCTTTAGATGGTGGCAAAACTAAACGTTTTTCAGGTTTGAATAAATACATAGTAGTTCATTTCATCTGCAACAAACTTCACGATGATAAATTAAGGGAACTTAATAAGACAGCTTCAATCTTTAAGAACTGCATTTCCCATGTGTCATTTTCTTTGTTCAATCTGCCTGAGTGGGAACAGCGGTGTGGGAAAGACTACGGTATCCCAGCTTACCTTAAACTAATCCTGACCTTAATATAATAATAACAACTATAAACTACTAGATAGATTAGGTTTTAATATTAAGAAAGTCACTTTTATTATCAGGAAATAGTCATATAGTCCTTTATTATTCCTAAGGGTTTTAAAATCAAATTACATTTTGTCACTCCAATAACATGACCAAATGTGAAAATTGATACTGCATTTATAGATAAACGATCATTTAGAAAAACACATTACAACTCAGCAAAGGAGCAAATGTTCACAATTTCCTAGCCCATTAATCACCAGGTTTCAAGCCTTTTAAGGACTCACAGTTCCCAGTGATACTGTGAATGGTAAACAAAAGAGGAAGGGGGCTACTAGCATGGGAGCGAGGGAAAGAGCCTCAAAGCAACTGATGCAGTGATTCCAGGTGACTGTTGCCCAAACTGAGAAGGTTAAGCGAGATGTAAAGTCTCTTATATTGATGTGATTCATTCCCATCTCCTAAGAAATTAACCTGTGAAAATCCTATCAAATCCAAAAAAAAAAAAAAAAAACCACCCCAAAACAAAAAAACCCCTGGAATAAACAAGCTCAGCAAGTTTGCGGGACACAAAATCAATATACAAAAATCAACTGTATTTCTATACACTTGCAATGAGCAACCTGAAAATGTAATTTAAAACAATTCCATTTACAACAGCTTCAAAAAGAGTAAAATGCTTAAAAAAAAATTCTTTAAAAAGAAGTACAAAATTTGTAATTTGAAAAGTACAAAACACCGCTGAAATTAATTAGAGAAAGTCTAAATCAAAGGAAAATATTTCATGTTCATGGATTGTAAGACAGTATTGTTAAGATGGCAATACTCCCAGATGCAATGAAATTCTATCAGAAGCCCAGGTTGACTTCTTCATAATAATTGATAAGCTGATTCTAAAATTTATATGGAATAGCAATGAATCTAAACCAGTCAAAATAATCTTGAAAAAGATGAAAAAGGAGTTAGACTCACATATCTTGACTTCAGAACTTAATACAACACAATGGTAACCAACAGTGAGAGAGATAATAGCTCAATGATAGTCCTATACAACAGTGAAAGAGAATTGAAAGAATCTAGAAATAAACCCACGTATCTAGGGTCAACTTACTTTCAACAAGGGTACCAAGACAATACAATGGATAACGAATAGTCTTTTCAACCAATGATTCTTGAACCACTGGACAGTCACATGCAAAAGAGTGAAGTTGGATCCCCTATTCAACACCATGGATAAAAATTAACTAAAAATGGCTGAATTGTATAATATATGAATGACATCCCAATAAGACTGCTCTAAATAAAATAAAAATAAAACACTTTGCATACACAGAGCACCCGAGTACACTAAAAGAAATCAAATCTTATATAGGCCTTTACATTTGGCCACTGAACCCCTAAGAAGAACGGAAAAATAGGGCAAAGGCAAGGCATCTGCTCTCACGTGTGCCAAGCCTGTGAGTTGACCCTGTAGTCTTTGCTGCTCCGTACTTGGAGGAAGCTTAAAGATAAATATCTTTAGAGGATAGCCTCAAAATTACTATGAAGTACTTTAAGTCTAATACATACATGTTTAGAGGAGTTTACTGAGTGGAAATGAGTGGGTATCAAAACTCCACCAAATAAATGAGAAACCTAATGAGGAAAGAGGGCAAAGGACAGAAAGAGGTTGGTCAACTGTGGCCTGGGCTGACAACTTTTAAACTAGGATGACGAAAGGACGATGACAGAACAAAGAATGAATAGACAGATATGTGCATTGATTGAATTAATTTACAAAGTCAAAACTTTTTGAGATTGTGGCTGTATCATACTGCCTCAGCAGTGAAGAATCGCTGCAGTTCCTGAAGCCATATTTCTAAGCATTCAAAGGGATGAAATTTAGGGTAAGTGGCCAGACATAAACTTCTGTGGTAAAGGAACAGAAGCAATGAACAATAATAAAGTCAGCTTATCTTTTAGCTCAATACAAATGGAGAAGGTAATGTAGCCAGCAAGGTAATTACAGTCCAGCAGAAGCTACATTTAGACCAAGCTGTTCCATAATTGATTTCTAAAATGAAGTTCAAGAGGATGAGTCAGCCAAACAAAGAGAATGTGTTCTTCTTACTTTCCAATATTTTATTACCTATCTAACAACTACTGCAAATTTTAGGTTTTTAAATAACAGTACCTAGAACTAAAAGCCAATATAGATTTCATTTTAAGATATATGACCTAAAGAGAAATTTTTTTGTTTCATTTTTATAGAATGATTGCACTTAAGGTTTTCAGCAGAATAGAAATTTAAACATTAGCCGCACTAAACATATTTAAATAATGACACTGTCTTATTTGCTCACTTTGATTTACCTTAAATTTTCTGTAGTAAAGCTAACCAATCATATTGAAAAAAGAACACAAAAGGTTTAAATTTCAAGACCTACAGGTCAAATACTATCTGTTGGACTTTTTTTTTTTAACTTAGCAAGTAGCCGTTAATTCAGTCTCAATATTATTTAACCATTTTTAGAGAGTCCAAAAAGTATTTTATAGTATTATTCATGATATAATAAGCTCAAGAGCTAAAACATACTAAGCAAAATTAAGTGAAATTTTCTTCAGCAAATGATTTAAAATTAAACTTAGCAGACTAAAGGAAGAGTATCAAAAGCAGTATATTTCAGTTTCTTTATAATGGTTTAACTTTTGTATTAATTTTAAACATAATACAAAAAGACTAAAATAAAGTCTATAGAGAATAAGCTCATGAAAATGCTCTTACAGAATTTATATGTGTATTTTAAAATACGTTAAAAATGAAAACTGTGTTTTTGAAAGACTACATCTGGCTTTGAAGCCTCACTAATAAATGTACTCAACATATCTAGTGATAATAGTCCACATGAGAGTTTACGCAGCTAATACCTTACTGATACTAACAATGCAGCAGACACTTGCTCTGTTACCTGCACTAGTTGAGCTTCACCACAATCCTGGAAACTACGAACAATTTTTATTCCCAATTTATAAATAAAAACCTGAGGTGCACAGAGCTTGAAAAAATGTGCCCAAACAGCAGAGCTATAGGATTGGAGTCAGATTCTATCTCATCCCCATTTGACCAGTACATTTCTCTGTCTCTACATGGAAAGTGGTTGGTCAACTATGGCCTGGAGAGACAACTTTTAAAACAGGATGCCAAAAGGAGGGAAGAAAAAAATGAATGAATGGACAGATATGTGTGTTGAGTCAATTACCTTTACCAAAGCAAAGGTCAACCTCTTCTTTTTCTAATTTAAAAAAATTAAAATAGCTGTACAGTACAATTTTCTGGCGTCATCCATTTTATTTGGTCAGAGCAAAAATTACAAAGGACTCATTTTTGTAATCAAGTAGCCAATAGGGCAATAAATGATACTAAACAGTGATTTCAGATTTCGGTTCTAGGTTCCTGGCTTTCTCCCTCTTCAGGTTTGTGACCTCAGACAACTATATTTCTGTGATTTGATTTCCTTATCTGAAAGGATAACAACTACCCAATAATAAAGTCTTGTGGGTTTATGTGAGATAACATGAAGAAAACACACAGCTCATAGTAGCTGCACACACAACATTAGTCCCAGCTCAGTACGCTCAAAGGATAGAATGAACATACCCACAAACTGCAGCTGAATGAACCATAAGTGAGTTCAGTTACAAAAACATTCTTTTAGTTTTCTGAGCCACAAAACTCATGCAGAATAACACACTTCAGATATAGTAGGGCTCAACTCTCTTAGGTAAGCTGCTCATGATTAGGTAATTTCTCAAGCCTTCTCCCATAATTCCTCAAAATTCTCATAAACTCCAGGCAACTCTGAGAAGTAGCAGGATGGTACAATCAAGAAATCAGGAGATGAGGTTTCTTACTCTCTGATCTACCCCCACCCTCCATTATAAACCTGAATTCATATATTGTTGGCAAATCTGGGCGCATGAGGTCTAGCACTGTTCAACAGAAACATAATGTGAACCGCAAATGTTCGATTTTAAATTTTCTGGTGGCCACATTAAAAAAAATTAAACCAAATGAAATTAATTTTGGTATTTTATTAAATACAAGATATCTAAAACACTATTATTTTAACATATGATCAATATAAAAGAGATACTAGTGAGATAACTTCTTTTCGTACTAAACTTTGCAATCTAATAGCATTTCACACTTTCAGTGCATCTTAGTCTAGAACAGTCTCTTTTCAAATGCTCTATCCATTCATGGATAGTTGCTACCACAGTGAATAGAACAGGTCTAGAGATCACCAGACAACTATAAGTACTTTTTACATAAAACGTGATAAACTGGAAAAAAATGATTGTCATTAAAATTATATAGTTAATGGAGAACTGAATTTAAAAAGCTGATTTACTGTATATTTTCAAAATATGTAAATGTACCATTTTTCCCATATTTTAACATTTTCCCCAAGCTTTTCCTTGAAATAATGACACTGTAGGAATATTTATTTCTAATACCACCTAAATATTCTGTAAAAGTTTTATCACAAGTAGCAGGACCCTGATAATAATTGAAACAATGTAAAATAATCTCAAATGCTTATAAAGAATGTTATTTAATGCAAATCTCCAGGCCTATTTATACTTGTATTATCTACTTGATATCTTACAATCTCTATGAGATAAGTCACATCCCTGGGGTATTTTGCTTTACTTAAATCTGGGCTAAACTAGAATAGACTGCTAGATTTCTGCAATATGAAACAATAATGCAACTGGAATTGGATTTCTGCAGGATAAAAATTGCAACGATATTAAAGTATCCTCATGTGTTTTCATGTTTATAGCTCCTGGGAGCTTTGTTTTTGAAAATTTAAAAACTTTTTTCCTCCAAATTAATTTGTAAATGCATAACTTAAAAAGCAAATGCCCATGTTTCATTGCTCCCATTTCTATTCTTCTCATTTATTGAAATGGAAATTAAGTAAAACCCCAAGGAAGAGGCTTTGCTGCTAGAAATAAAAAGCGAGACTAAACTGACAGCACTATTTGGTTTGGCCAGACATTCTAATAGGAAAAATACAGCAGCCAAGAAAATAGTTTGGAAGAAAGACAAATTTAAACATCAATTTTGATTGTAGTGTCATAAGAAAGGCATGCATTACAGAAGAGTTTTGAAAGCATCTCAGTTTGAGATACAGTAGAGAGAAGAAAGAAAACATACTTCAACTGAAGGACAGCTTCCACTCTCCACATGTATAATCACAGGGATTCATAAATTCATACCATTCCTTCAGTCACCTGTGAGGAATCAATTTTCTAGGCTTCCCCTTATATACCTGATGTTACATGACAGAAGTCTAGTTAACTGTTCCCAGACAGGATGAGCCATGAAAGGAGGCTTAGCTGGGAAAATGGGCTACCTGCATGCCCCTCAGAGGCGGGAGAAGTACTGCAGGTGTCAAAGAATTATTACAGGTGTAGAAGGATCATTCCGGGTGTGAGGAAGAACAGAGCCGCAAATGAGCACAGTATCTGAAGGGACTAGGAACCAGAAAGGGAAAAGTATGAAGGAAAGCTATCAGATTTAATGGGGATACCCTAACAATTTAGTGTCGTTTAGTGTCAAGAAGAGCTAAAATTCAGAAATTCCAAGAGGCAGGCTCTTAGGAGGAAGTTTGCCAGCCAGAAGAGGGGCTTCAAAAACCCTGGTAGGACTCGGAGGCAGGACTTAGTCCATGAGAAGGGGAGTAGTAATTCTAAGTAGTACTGGTATCTTCCCAGTCTAGGAATTGTTAGGCTGACCAGCTGTCCACGAACCCCAGGTGAGCTTCAGAAGCTGCCTTAAAAAAGTTTAATCAGCTTCTCAAAGCACTTACTAAATACAGGTTAGTGATTCATTCTAAGGGGTTTAAGGACTTAGCTGTTTGGCAAACAGAACTTGAAGCGAAGGCTGTGATCCCAAATAAAAGGTAAAAGTTAATTCCTGGGGCACGTGTGTGACTTCCAGTGCCTTAAATCCCTCCAGCTGAAGGGCTGCTCTAATAAGCTTGCCAGGTGCCGGGTTTATAGGTGGAAGTCAGGTAGCTCCAGCTGCGGGGAGAGGAGAGGAGCAGAGGTCTTGCGAACCAGGCAGGGACTGAAAACTAAGCCCAGCCCAGCCTCCACTCTGTCTCACTTGCCCACCATCTTTAGGGAATCACTGAAGGGTTTCTATCGAGAAATAAATTCGGTCAAATAAATTTTAAAATATGGGTTTTCCTTCTTTCCCCATCACTTCCATAAAACAGGAAGAGGGTATTTTCTTACTAGAAATAGATATTTTTACAAACTGACAGAGAAATTATGGCTTAAATTATATATTTGATTACTTATATATTTTACTATCACTGTCCTCTCATCTCATGGGAATTGGGCATTATATTTACTAACAGATTATCTTGACTATAGAACTTAACTTTATTCATCACAGATTATGCCTCATGAATATGTCTACTTTGCCAATATTGGTAGCATATCAGGGTATTACTTGGGAGGAAAATGCTAAGAAAATGAAGTAAGCTTATAAAGACCAGCCACCTGTTCTTTCCTGTAATGCAGTTTACATTAGGGAATCCATTACTTTTTTACACTGACTTAGGAAAATAAATGACTTCATTGGCAAGTCAGACAAGTCCCAGCCAAGCAAGGAAGTGGGGTGGAACAAAGGAAAAAATGCAGCCTTTTGTTTTCTCCCTTCATCTAAAGCTTGGGGGAGTGGATTACTTTAGTGGTGAGGTGTATTTGCTTAGGTATATATAATATACATCCTTTTTATTTTTTTCAAATCAATAGGCTACCTTTAGAACAGTTTTAGATTTACAGAAAAATTGAACAGAAATTACAGAGTTCTCATATACCTACCCCCTTGGCCCCTACCCAACACAGTTTTCCCCGTTCTTAACATCTTGCTTTAGTGAGATACATTTGTTACAAGTGATAATCCAATACTGATACATCATTATTAATTAGAATCCATAGTTTACATTAGGATTCGCTCTTTGTGTTGTACATTGTATGGGTCCTCACAAATGTATAATGATATTTATCTACCATTACAGTATCATATACAATAGTTTTATTTCCCTAAAATTGTCCTGTGTTTCATCTATTTGCTCCTTCCCCACTCCTTCCTCCCTTTTTAGTTTAAAAAAAGTTGTAAATTCAACAGAAAAACTCAGTATTTTTTTCCCCATGGTGTATACGGGTCTTACTATTTTATAGGGAAATTAAAACTTACCGGTTCAACAAATTCAAACTTCTTTTTTTCTTGAACTTCTTGAATTTTAAAGACATACTCTAGTGATGCTTCATAGAAGTTTTGATGCTCTCGGTCAATTTGTGTATCTGCCTAAAGGGCACAAGAGGGCAAATCATGATACAGGGAGTAATTACTGACGGTCCTATGTTAGAGCGGGGCTCAAGTCCTGTTCTACTCTGAAATCTTGATTAAAAATTAAGTCCTGCCAAAAGTTTTAATATAGCAAGTATTATTATGTTCTGGGAATAAAGATACTAGGAAAACATAGTCCTTGCCCACAAGAGCTTATAGTATGTGGGGTGGGAGGAAAAAAAAAAAACAGTAAGCACACAACATTCACCTCACTTAAAAGAAAATATCACAGAAGAGGTTTATAAATGTATTTGAAAATCTGTGAGATCATAGAAAAAGACACTTAAGCTCTAGGAAAAAATGGTGGTGGTTTGAGTTGAATTATAAAATGAACAACGGGCAGTGACTGGTCAAAGCTTAAAAAAAAAAAAAGGTCACTCCCATAAAAAAAGTAAAGATGCATGAAAGAGTTTGACAGTTTTCAACAGAGTAAATAAGTGGAGGGAAGGAGGGAGAACTGAGGTTAGCATCTTACTATAAAAGATCTTGAACACTGAATGGCAAATTTGGATTTAACTGAAGAATTACTTGACAATATTAAGCATTGAGCCACATCATGAGGTAACCTCTTACAAAGATAATGCTACTAGTAACAAAGCCAAAGATTGTCAATGGTCCTAACCTAATGATTCATGCCCCTCGAATGCCACGCACATTTATTCTTCATGACTGTGGTAAGGTTCTATTGATCAAGTGTGACACAAGTATTATGGAGATAATTGCATTTTCTTTGTGATACTTTCTCTCTCCCGTCTTCTAGACCCACCACCATCCTCACATGCCTCTTTTAAACTGACTTTGATTGAACAGAGAGGCATGATTTTACTTTTCTTGCCCAGTTACACACTCCCCATTGCCAGATGAGATTACTAAAAGCAGATGAGAAAAATGGGCTCTCCGGAATGCTAAGTGTCTGCCAACAACAATTTGGAAATGGCCTATTGCTTTGGAGCCATTTTACAATGATAATTTAACAAACAGAAGCTTTAAAAAAAAGATAAAATTAGGTTTGCTGGCTTGGACATCATAGCATTTTAAAACTTCATATGAAACACCTTTAAAAATAATTATATATACTTACTTTGCATTTACTCATATAATTAAAAATAACCCAATATTATAAGCAACTCAATTGGAATTTTTTAAAGTTGAGAATTCCAAGTTTCTAAACTAATATACAAAAAGAACATATAAATCAGGTAGGAAATGTGAATCAGAAACTTCTTAGCTCTCAAAGACAATTTCTGAACAAGAAAAGATATAACTATCAAAAAGACAACTGTATTCTACACAAATCATATATTTTTTTCTTACCACTGCTTAGAGGAGTACATTATTAAAAGAAGGAATGGTAAGAAGGTATAGTTAGTGGTATGCTGATAAATATTTAACAGTGACCTCTCATGGGAGAAAGCCAGATTTGCAGTATTTGCTGGTTTCTGTAGTGTAAATATTCCCAAAACAGCCAGTTCCAAACCACAACCCAACATCAGTGAATGAGGGAGTTAGAAAGAGATGAGAAAGCTGGCTCTGCAAGCCAGAGCTTCAGGACACCACCGGGCGTGAAGGACACAGGAATATTTTTAGTCTCAGAGATAACATTCTATTCCCCAAGGTATTTCTGAAGGTTTTCTTTACTGTAGAAGATAATGCCACTGATGGTGTTGACCAGCACATGGGAACAGACTAGAATGTTAAGCCACCTTTATGACACACATGATTATTGCTGGTCAACAAAGCTGTGCAGAAAAGAGCACAGCAGGCATGAATGTTCTCCACTGAAAGGCTTGTTTACAAGGTTGGCCCTTGGCTGCATCTGGGAATGTTGGTTCTGTGAGAGTTCCCACCACTCTAATTGATAAGCGTCGTTTACTATGCCAAAACTATTTGTACAAACAATATGGTTTATTTTGAACACCTGCTTTCCTTTTGGAGTCCGGAATGTGGGTATATGACAAGCAGAAGGTGCCTATGTGACCAGCTCCCAGTAAAAACCATGGGTGCTTAGTCTATAATGAGTTTCTAATGGACAACATTTCATATATTTTTCTCACAACTTATAACTGGGGGAATTAAGTGTGTCCTGTGTGTTTCCACTGGGAAAGGACTCCTGGAAGCTTATGCCTGGTTTCCCCCAGACTTCACCTTATGCATCCTTTGCTGATTTTTCTTTATACCTTTTCACCATAATAAATCATAGCCATGCATCCTAGCGAATCACCATGCACAATCCCAGCCAGGGCGTGGTGGGGGCACAAAGAAGGATAAGAGAGAAAGGATGATTCTTCCCATTTGCCAGTTATAGATGTTTTCCATTACCTCCAATCTAGACGAATCCAATAAACCAAATCTGCTTTGAAAGATGACCTAGATTGTACAGCACTTAAAGAACACAAGAGCTTAATTTATTCTCAGTACAAGATTTTTTTGGAAAGACATTCCTTACTTGAGATGAAACCCGTTTATACTTAAGCTCATGCAGTGTGTTGTTCACTAGCACACAGCTGCTTATATACCCACTAGCAACTGTTGTTCTGTATTTTGTACTGAATAAGTAAAATAACCATATAATTTACTGTTTAAATTCTTACTGAAACAGAGCACCAGTAATAATTAAGCCAGAACAATGGGTATAAACTATTGTTTACACGGCAAAGAGAACTGTAAAGTCATCCTAGTAAGAAACCAAGTTAATTACAGAAGAAAAGCAGACAGTTCTGCAGAAACCTAAATTATTCCCCACCTACAATAAGCTATCGCAATTCAGCTGAAAGAAAAAAACCCTCATTCCCAGAGGAGAAAAAGATCTAAGATGGACTGAAGAATGGGAAGGTTTAGAGCAGGTGGAGATAAAAGGAGAAGAGTCTGAGGGAGGGAACAGAGTCCAGACGAGTTACGTTTTGTTAGATCAAAAGGTTCTGTCTGAAACAGCGAGAAATGAGAGTTAAGGCAGCAAAGAGAGAATGAGCGTAAACTTCATTCCATAGACATTGCAAAAGCTTCTGAGGATGGTGTAGAACATACCGAAGCAGTGGTGAGGCTGGGTGCACGTGAACATGAGGAGACCTCTTATTTAGCAGGGGTGAAGATGTGTGGTATTTCCCAGTAAGAAAGAGAAGCTTAAAGATGTGAGAAATAAGGGGAAAAGTCAAAGATAATTTTGATATGAAAAATACCAGTCTTAACAAAATTAAAGAAGTGAGAAGTGGGAGTAAATTTGAGAGAACGGTGATGTGTGAGATTTCAGTGTGTCAGTGAGGAGTGGTCAAGCTTTGGGCATAGAAATGTCAGACATGATGAAATCATGGCCTGAGAGACATCCATCAGGACGTTACAGACAGTACAAAAATAGAAGAGATGTCAGGGACACAAACTTAAGGATAAGAAGAGAGGTTAAAAGGTAGAAACTAAAGGATTTCCTTCTTTTAGGAGGTAGGGATAAGAGGAACCTGTTCAAAGTATATTTAGGGACATGTGGAAACCCAGAATCTGGGTTTCTAAAAGGATTTCTTTTCTCCTTCATTTTTTGTCCTAATTATACAAATATTACATATTCATTATTATAAGTTTATAAATCACTTGTTACCATAACAGAGAAATGTACAGATAATAAGAATTTTCATTCCCACTGTTAATATTTTGATGTGTAACATGCACATACAAAGTTACTCCAAATAAACCTGAAAAACACTGTACATACAATTTGATTTACACTTTGCTTTTTTCCACTTAAGCTAATGAGTATTTCCAATGTCTTTAAATGATTTTCCCAATAAAAATCTTTCACAGCCATATCACATTTCATTTTCCATCAAGCTGTATGTGTGTATTTACCCCAATTATTCTTTTGTGCCATTTCAAATGTTTCTAAATTTGTGCATTGCAAGAGTTATCTTGCATAAACATATTTACTCAATTTCTTTTTATGCTCATTTCTGACTATTTCTCTTTGATAAATTCCTGTTAATAGAAATAATTTCAACTATCTTGTATATTGAAAATTAGTTGAAAAATGTCATCTAATTTACCTCAAGAATGACCGAATGATTTTGTTTTTACCCTAGAAGCAAAAGTGTACTCAGTCTCCCATATCATCACTGACAGTGGATACCTTTTAATAAATTAAACTAACATCCTGCTGCTATTACTAATCTGCTTTTGTATTTTATTTCACAAAATTGTATTGTATTGTATTGCATTGTATTTTAACACACGTCACACTGAAACTTACAATATTCACTATGGTTTATATTTCTTCTTTGATAAAATGCCAATTCATATTCTTAGCCTATTTTTTCAATTGAAGACCAACTTTTTCACAGCGATTTGTAGATGCATCTTGTGTATAAGTGATGGTAATCCTATGTCATATACTATATAAATTCCCTGACACTTTGCTTTTTAATTTGATTTAATGTCTTATGAAATAGACATGTTTGTATGCTTTCTGGTCTTTCCACATTTCCTTTATGATCTCTCCCTCTTAGTTTATGCTTAGAAAGAAATTACCCACTCCTGTTTTAAATATTACTTCTTTTCATGTACTATAAAGTCTATAATCTTGACAAGTCTGTTTATTGCAATGATCCATCTGATTGATGGTCCTGGAGCTTTATCAACACAAGCTGATCCCTAGTTCAGCCCTGGAAGTGGGCAGCCACTTATTTTTCATGATCAAAATGAACAAGGAGTCAGATGACAGGGTACATGGGGGTCTTTCTGAGAGCAACTTAAATTTGGTGCCGAGAGAAGCATGAGAGGTTCTGGAAAGATGACTTTTAATGCCACGTTACAAAGCTAAATACAGGGTGTGGCAGCATCTCTCTATAAGAGATTTGATTCCTGGAAGTGTAGAGAAAACAAAAAACCCAAGTCATTGGGTTTTTTCCCCTTGTTTACATTATGCACTCTAAGGCACTGCTATGGAACAATTGTGTTGTGTTGTGTTGTGAGCTGTGCCTCCTAGAAAAGAAGTCTGTGCATGAGTGTATGTGTGTGGAGTGGGATAAGGGGGGGTCCAGTGGAAGTTGTATTACCCATGTTACAGGTTTTTCCAGCCTCTAACTAAATACAGACCCAGAATGGATATTTTGTTCTACCACAGCCTAAGGAACTCAGGGCCACTAACAAGCAAAGTATTAAATATTTAATTAGGTCATCAAGGAAAATTAAAGCATACCCTCTAGAGGATATTAAAATTAGATCAAGTTAGTATTTGCTAGATGATTTAAGCAATGTCTTGTCAAAGGGTAGCCTTCCATATTCACGAAGAACCTGGTGAACCTACAACCCTTTAGAGACTCTAAAAACCACCGTGGATTCTGAGGCCATCAATTTTTATAATGCTACTTGGCCATGGCACATGGCACGGCATATGGTGTACAGATGGAAATTACGGAAGTCTTTCTATACATGACTTCATCTACATACTGTATTCTCTCTTAGGTTTATTCTAGTACAATGTTTAGAGAAATGTGAGCATTTAAGAAGTTTGGAATAGGTGAATATAATACTAAATTTGTATGGAAGCGTGCGCGCACACACACACACACACACACACACACACAAATCCCAAATAGCCAAAGCAATCTTGAGAAAGAACAAAGTTAGTTCAGTATCATGCCCCTAGATCCCAAACTATATTACAAAGCTATAGTATGTGAAACAGTGTGGTATTGGCATAAAAACAGACAAATAGACCAATGGAACAGAATGGTCCAGAAATAAACTCATGCATAAATGGTCAATAAATTTTTGACAAAGGAGCCAAGAATATACAATGGGGAAACAACAATGAGAAAAATGAACAGCTAGATGGGGAAAAAAAAAAAAGAAAAAGAAACTCTACCACTATCTAACATCACACCAAAAAGTAACTCAAATGGATTAAAGACTTCATCATAAGACCTGAAGCCATAAAATGCCTCAAAAAAAAAAAATGTAGGTGATAAGTTCCTTAACACAGGTCTTGGCCATGATTTTTTGAATCTCAAACCGAAAGCAAAAATAAACAAATGGGACTACATCAAACTAAAAAGCTTCTGTATAACAAAGAAAATAGCAAAATGAAAAAGGAACATAGTGAATGGAAGAAAATATTTGGAAATCATTTATTTGACAAGGGGCTAATATCTAAAACATAAAGATCTCATACGACTTAACAACAAAATTCAAACAATCCTATTAAAAATGAACATAAGATCTGAATAGACATTTTACCAAAGAAGATGTACAGATGGCCAACAGGTACATGAAAAGATGCTCAACATCAATAACCATCGAGAAAATACAAGTCAAAACCACAATGAGATATCACCTTACACCTGTTAGAATGGATATCATAAAAATGACAAGATATAACAAATGTTGGTAACAAGGTAAATTTGTGTAGCCACAATGAAAAACAGTTTGGGAGCTCCTCAAAAAATTAAAAATAGAACTACCATGTGATCCAGCAAATTTCACTTCTTGGTATTTATCTAAAGAAACCAAAAACACTAATTCAAAAAGATGTATATGCCCTGGCTGGGTGGCTCAAATGGTTGGATCATCTTCCTATGCACCAAAAGGCTGTGCATTCAGTCCTGAGGTGGCGCATATATGGAAGGCAACTGATTAATGTTTTTCACATTGATGTTTCTCTTTCCCTCTCTCCCTTCCTCTCTCTCTAAAAAAGAAATCAATAAAAACATATCCTTAGGTGAGGACTTAAAAATAAAAAGAGGTGTGTACCCCCACATTTACTGCAAAATTATTTACAATAGCCAAGATATAAAGACAAGTTAAATGTCCATAGATGGATCGATAATTTGATAAATTATGACATAAGATTATATTTTATATATATTTTATAGATGGAATATTATTCAGCCAAAAAATGTGTAAAATCTTGCCATTTTGAAACCCTGGATGGACCTTGAGGGCATTATGATAAATGCAAAGTCAGATAAAGAAAGACAAATACCATATGATTTCTCTTATATGTGGAACCTAAAAATAAATACATGACGCATACATACATACATACATACATACATACATACCTGCTCATAGATAAAGAGAACAGACTGGGGGTTGCCAGAGTCAGGAGGAAGGGCTTGGTGAGGGGGATTAAATTTTAAAAAAAGAAAAGGAACCGACGATGGAATGATGCAGGCATAATAAAAACTTTCCAGGTAGAACAAAGAGTAAGTGCAAAGGCCTTGAAGTATGCCTAATCTTGGCTAATTTGGGCAAGACTTAAGATTAATATAACCAAAGCATGAATTAAAGAGAAGAGTCAGGAAAGAAAAAAAGTTGGAGGAGGATAAGTAGTAGAAGTTATATGAAACATGTCAACATAATATTAAATTGTAGCATAATACCTCATAAGATTAAGTATGCCTTTGAAAATTAAAAATATTATTTTTTCTTAATGACAGATTTCTTTTTCCATTTCACTTGAGCCACAAAACCTTTCCATAAGCACATAACTGTACATTCGATTGTCCTGTTTAATTGCAGGTGTTAATAACAAAATATAATGAACTCATGTTTAAGTAACAACACTTCCCAATATTAAATATATTTAAATGAAGAAATTCAATTCCTTCGATGACAATATGAGAATTTAGAAAAAAGGAATCAGAAGCAAAAATAATCCTCCCATGGCTTTTGATGCAGCGGAACACGTGCCACTCTCTAACTCATCCAGTAGCTCTGTGGCTGAATGTGGAGGAGAAATAAGAGAAAGAATACAGAGAGCAGAGGACGAGGCTGAATTCACAAAGCAGCTCATTGGTTTTGCTAGATCAGGACGAGGCATTTAAAAGAGGTTCTGGACTGTGATACCTACAAGCACAGAGAGAGGAGGGAGAAGAGAATAACGGAGACCCAGCATGGCCCAGGGTTCCCTAGGAAGGTCTGGAGAGCACTAGTGAGCCCAGGGTGAAACTACCTTCACTCCCATCTGTGGCCCGGAGACAACCACGGTAGAGTCAGGGAAAAGTGTGGGTGGAGTGTTAAGATTTTTTTGTTTTTAGGGTGAAAATGGCAAGAAAGTCCATTTTTTAAAAACATATTCTCATTACAGTAACTAGAACCACATTATTCCTTAGTAAATGGACCACAAGATTTTACTCATAGCTAAAACTCTACCAATGAAAAGGACCGATACTTCGGAAAGAATTGAATTGCTTATATGCATACATGTTAGTGAAATATTTGTTGCCTTGTTCTTGAAGAAAATTGATGTAAAATAACTGATATTTTAAAATGTATAATTGTGTATTTTTGTTCTCCTAATGCTAATGCAATGCCTTAAAAAGATAATTTTCTATTTAACATAAAAGCTGAAATGTGAATTTGATAGGTCCTGTTATTTAAAATGTGTCTGACAGAAGAAAATGAAAAAGTTTTATTTCATTCTTTTTCATTGTTGAAGGAAATACTAATCTTTCATTTGGAACTGCTTATATTAAATGTCATAAGGCATTTAAAATATTCAGCACAGTGCCTGTCCATAGTAAATGCTCAACTAACAAGTCCTTCCCTCCCCTCCCCCTTTCCTTTTATCTTTTCTCCCTTCCTCCCTTCCTCCCTCCCTTCCTCCCTACTTTCCACCTTTCTTTTTTATTAAAGAGTAGCCAATTCTGAGATACTTCTACCTTTGGAAATTTGGACTTCACATGACTTAATGCTAATGCACTTTCCACATTCCAATTAGAAAAGCTTACCTCTTGCAAATGAGACTCCTTTTTCTTTGCAGACAAATTTAAATGTTTGTCAAGAATAGAATAGTATTTTTCACTCTCCTTGTCAAACTTCTTCTTTCCATCCTAGGAGATAACAACAACAACACAACATTCAAATTAGAGCCTCAAGAAGGATTTTCACCGTTCCCATTAAACATCAAAGAAAATTATTCAAGATTTAGTGAGCTCCAACTAGTATGTGCAAATGTATTTGAAGTAGATTAGAAAGAATGGCATGGAAAAAAAAACCATTTGAATATGCATTCTCCTAAAGAAGCTCATGGAACTATTGTATAGTGGGGGATAGAGGGGCTACAGTAGAATCCCTTTGAGTCTTTATATTTGATTCTCAATGAGAGATGCTGATCTAGTACGTATAGACCAAGAGAAATGTCTCCTTTAGGCCTTGTAGTGATTCAGATGAGATGATATGTATCCAGTTTACAGAACCACTGGCACAGAGTGTTTTCAAGGAATCATTATTTCCCAGCCTCAAAAGGACACTTGATGATTCGAAACAACTCATTCTTGATGGAGGACAACAGAATTTTAAAAGCATAAAATCATTAAATCAGATAGTTCAAACTCAAATCAAAAGTATTATCAACGACTGTATCATATAATCAACCTAACTAGTAACTGACCTTTGCTTACAGTTAAAATAATGTTTTTGTTTTGAAGGGATAGCTGTAATCAGGGTAGCTTTTTGTGAAGAAGCAGAATATACCTTTCATCCTATCATATGCTTCTCTAGAAATGCAAATGGAATAAAATCTAAAAGGAACAGGACATGCCTGGGCATATAACCTTTTGCAACCATAAATATGTACACTTTTTCCATTTATAAGCCCATAAGAATTAAATATTAGGTAACCACTCTCAAATTTCATTGGCCAAAGTAGTACTATTTTTTGCTTTTATCTCAGTGTTTCTGGAAGGACAATCTCAGAACCACTTTAATCAGAGTGAAGTATTTTTAAGCCTCTTCAAAATGCAGATCCCTATTTCTCCCATCCAGAGATTCATGCATTGTTATTTTTTACAAGCTTTACTATGTTGTACACCTTAAACTAATATAAGCTTGTATGTCAACTGTAATTGAAAAATAATAAAAAAATAAGTTCTATGTTTATTATGCACAGTGTTTAGCTTCATTATTTGCATAAGTATTTGGAAGAGGTTAATGAAAAACAATGGATGGATAGATGGGAGAATGGATGGATGGAAGGAAGGATAGAAGGGTGGATGGGCGGGGCGAGGAAGAGGCAGGCAGAACGCTGGTCTGTCTTTCCCACTATTCTGAAGTCATCAGATCCAGGTTAATACATCCAGATAATTCTGTCGTGGTGAACTTGATACCTCAATTATATTTCCAGGAATTCATCATGATCTAATTCCATATAAGGGACTTTAGAAAGTTAATTAGTAAAACTGCACTGAATGCAAAGAGCAAACGGGCTTCTGCTATAAAAGTTCAAATCGCTTTTAGACCATTTAAGAAATACTGCCATGTCTGTACTGGCAACATGGAAATGAGGAGAAAAAAGTCAAAATCCTCAAAGGATCTCTATTACCTAAGGAGAAAATGTGGTCCTACCAGGAGAAACACAATTGAAAACTAAATCCAAAAAAGGTCTGTTGAGGAACTCAATGCAACAAAATTCGCAGACCCAAAAGGAAGCAAGGAAGCCCAAGGTTCAGGATGGGAGGAGCTTGACCTCTCCACTTTTAGAACAGATACCAGGGGTGAACCTTTCACATTCTGCTCACTGATGTCACTCTTAAACTGGCATTTCATGGCCAGAGCTCGCCTGCCCAACCTACCTCTCTAAAAATCTCTCTCACTAACCCCTGTAGACCTCCTATACTTTTCTTTATTCTCTCCAGGCCACCTCCTTTTGACAAAAAAGCTCATTTCTTCCAATCTCAACATATTCACATTTAGCATTCAGCTCAAATTGACCTCATTCATAGCCTTCTTCATCAACTCTCTCTCCCTTGTGAATGCTCATATAGTTTTATATATGGGTTTTTTAATTATAAAAAACATGTTTTATTGTACACTGTAGCAGAGAAATTGAGGTATACTCTATCCTCCTCAAAACTGAATTCCTTAGAGAGTGCTCAATAAATAGTTAACAAAAAAATAAAATTCTTCCTCTTACAATACTATCATAATCCCTCATTGATATTTCATTTGTTCAAAAAGCCAATGTCCATGTTACAAGGGACAATTCTGCACAACTGGCCTTAACACAAACACAATGGCACGTACTCATTTGGGGGCAACCAGCTGCATTACAGTATAGTACATAAAACTGATTCACTTTCACTTTACAGACATAGCTTAAAATTTCTCACTGTGCATAGAAGACGATGCCGGTTGAAGGAGAAGAGAACACAGCTGTGGTGACTACACTTGCATCTTTGTTTTCAGTCAGTGTTTGATGGCATTTTGGGAAATGTTAATTCAGGGCCAAAGACATCAGCATTCCTGGCAATATAGAAATCATTCTCAGAAGTATTTCCCAGACTCCAAAGCCAGGCCATTCACACCACTGGCCCAGCAAAAAAAAAAATCTCAGAAGTTCCAATGCTGTATATAACAAAGACACACTCAATTCTAGCATAAAATTAAAGAACTGAGTTGGAAGAGTAAGCCACATGAAGGACAACTATAATCTAGGGAAGCATGTTCCTGAAAACAAACGCACTTCTTGCAATCCACATCTCCCCTAAAAAGTCATGATTTACACTGCTCACAAGCCAAGTCTATTTGGACTTAGTAACTTAACAGCATACATCTATCTCTTGTCTGCGCTTACTTGTGGATATCATGCTAAGAATTTTCTCTGAAACCACTGCTGCAGAGAGAAGGGAAAAATAACCATGGATCTTTACTGAATGCTGTGCACGATGACTGTCTTCCTATTGTCATGGCATGATTCATACAATACTACATTATAATATTTTCTATCAATCAACAGTGAGTGCATTTGAATTAGGTAATCATTAAAAATGAAGACATATATGTGTGTATATATATATATGTGTGATAAGTGTACATATGATAAAATATTTAAAAACTGTTCATTGAAAATGACACATTAGTCCCCAAACCTAATTTGAGTTGGAGAAAGTATAAGGTAAGCTCTGGGCTACCATCTGTTTTCTAAACTGCACTGCATTTATTCTCAGCACAGTGATCATACTATCACTGAGCTTCCAAGCTCAGCAACTGTGGTCATGCCACACTTTCTTCCACACACTGAAGTGGGAAATGGGAGGCAATCATTACAGCACAAATTCCTAGTGTCAATTTTACTCTTAAGATTACCGTACATATTGTGCTCCCTTCGGCAGCACGTATACTAAAACTGGAATGAAACAGAGAAGATTAGCATGGCCCCTGCACAAGGATGACACGCAAATCTGTGCAGCGTACATTTTGCAGGTCTAAAGCACCCGTGGGCAAAGCCAAAGTGGGGAAGGGTTCGGACGGGGAGTGGCGGGGCAGGAGAAAGTGGTGGAGGGAAAGCGGAGACAAATCTATTTGAACAAAAACAAACAAACAAACAAATAAATAGATAGATAGATTACTATATATGACAAAACATAATTATAACCATAGGAATATCATGAAAATAAAACTATTAAATTGTACACAACTGTTAAAAACAAGACCAAAACAATACCTTCCACTGACCACAGGAGGGCACCAAAGATAAAGAATAGACTCAACGAATCGGCATTTAGAAAAGCACAAACAGGTCTGTGTTATCCAATTGCGTTTTTTTCTATAAAAGACTACCGAAAAGTTTTGTTTAAATAACTGCCTTAGCAACCTTTAATGTTACCATGATATAAATTTTTAAAATAAAAGAAGCAAAAAATCTTTTCTATATTTCTTTTTAAAAATGGATTTATGCATCAGATTGTTAAGACAATCCCATTGCTGTAACTACTACACAGGATATTGCAAAATTTCCCATTCAAACGGGTCATCGCATTAGTGTAACCATTAGCTGAATAAGTGGTATGTGTTTATTTTGAAAAAATCCTTCAAGAGATTGCACAGTAGTAGAAAAAGTAATATAAAGAGTAATAAATACCAAAAGCTAAATTTCTATTTCAAAAATATCTGGAATTCTCATAAATTGGCACTGTAGTGGGCATTGAGAAGATTCAATATAGCCCTGACTGCACCATTCCTGGCTAGACTTTCTCTCTCTCTCTCTCTCTCTCTCTTTAAGATTTATTTTTAGAGCGAGGAAAAGGGGGAGAGAGAGGGAGAGAAACAACAATGTGTGGTGGCCTCTCATGTCCCCCCCCCCACAACCCAGGCATGTGCCCTGACTGGGAATCAAATTGGTGACCCTTTAGTTCAAAGGCCAGCACTCAATCCACTGAGCCACACCAGCCAGAGCAACTTCTTCCTCTTCTGATGGTGGGATTTTCTCACTGCCTAGAATGGTGGCCCAGGGCAACATCACCACCGCTGAGTCCCAGAAGGGCCAGATGTTAGGATATTGTAAACATATACTATATAGGAGTTTCCTGAGGCCCAAGAGATCTCTGGTATCTGGGAACCTAAGTTGTTGAGAATCTTAGTATAGCTTACACAGCAATGTCCCCCTGCAGGTGACTGCCCTCAACCATCCCAGTCTCCACAGCCCATTCTCTACCGTGTCTCCCTTCCTCAATCTGCTGAAATATAGACATTACAAAAGGGATCCTTCCAGGGTTGGTTGCACAAGCATAATTGACCACATCAGTCCTATTCCTAACTACCACACCACTACCACCATCAGGTGATCAGATTCATAAGAACCAAAGGTTTCACATTTGCCTTTATAAGAAGGATCTCCTACAAACTAGAGAGACAGAAAAACAAAGAGAAATATGTGTGACAAGGATATGAAGGAATAATACAGACAAGAAAAACCAAAAGAGTAACAAGCATATGAAGAGTTTTCCAAACTCATAAGTAGTAAGAGAAAAGCAAATTAAAATACTAAGAAATCAAATCATATCTGTCAGATACTGGCAAGAGGCAGAAGGTTGAGTAACACTACATGTTGAGTGCATGTGGAGATACAGGACCCCCTGGGCACTCAGGTGGGATTGTAGCAGATTAGAAGGGTGCAGCCTTCCTAAAGGGAAATGTTACACTACTAAGTAGCAAAATGTGTGTCCTAAGAACCAGCTTCTGTGTGTACATTCCAAAAAGATCCTTACAGAGAGTCCACAGGGAAACAGGAATGAGGATATGCAGCGGTGGGAAGAAGATAGCTAGGGTATTCGTTAGTGGACATAAAATGAATTAGATGTAGACTGATGAGTGCTATACAGAAGTTAGAAGAAAATATTACAAGTGGGTGGACCTTAAAACACAATTATGAGTGAAAAATAAAAACCAAAATTCTTTATGTAAGTTAAAAAGCCATGCATACAAAATACCAATTTTATAAGAACATAAAACAAAAATATACACATTAAACTCGTAAGAATGGTTGCTATATGAGAAAAATGTGAATGGGGTATGAGTAAATTAATAAAACACAAAGAAAATAGATTTAAAAAGATAAGACAACTAGGGGATTAATCAGAAAGCCCAACATCTGACTAATAGAGCTATTGAAAAAGAAAATGTCGTGAAGGAATTATCTAAAAAATACATGAGAACTTCCAGGACTGATTTAAAAATTTTCCATATTATAATGGCACAATATGTGCAAAGCACAATAAATGAGAAAATATCCAAAAGATATAAAATATTATAAAACCATGGATAAAAATAAAAACCTAAAACCAGAGATCAAATAAAAACCTCTGGTCAAATAAAATCATCAGAAATCAAAATAAGAATGACTCTACAACAAATCTACAGGAAGTTATAAAACAAAGCTGTAGGGTTTTCAATATTCTAAGGAATAATTACTTCCAACCTCGATTTCCATATCCAATCAAACTGTCAATCTGGATTGAGGATGGAATAAAAATATTTATAAACATAGAGGGTCTCAAAAGTTTTACCAGCTATGTATTAATTCTCATGAAGCTACTGAGAGGGGTGCTCCGCTAAAATAAAAAAATAAACCACAAAAAGTAAGACATGGGATCTAGGAAAACACTGGTTCCAAGGGGCAAAGGGAATTCCCAGAATATCCAGCCACAGGCTATGTAATCTAAACTTTCATGAAAACAGATGGAGTAGTAAGTCTATCAACTTTAAAGCAACCAGTTAAGATGAGACTTCCAGGAGGAACGTCTATAAAAAAATAAAAATAAAATGGAGAATACATTTAATGTGTTTGAATATATTAAGATGTGCTTACAGTTATATATGTGCATTGGGGATCAGAGTATTTTATGCAAATTTTTAAAGTAAGGCAATTATTAACTCGAGGAAAAACAAACATGCAAAAAAATGTAATCATAGAACTGAGCATGGCTCATCTATGAACAATAATTAAATTATGTAAACGCCGACCACTGACTTTTTTAAAAGGTGACTTAACTGTCTATTTGGAGGATGGCAGGAGGGGAAATATATACAAAATAGTGGTGGTTGTGGTATGATAAGGGTGCTAAATAGTCATATTCTATAAAAGGTAAGTTAACCTAATAATGCCTAACAATTGAAGAAAGAAAAATGAGAGTGAGCAAACTATTTAGCAAATTGGAGGAACATCTGAAACAGCTTCAAGAATCACAAGTGGTCGCCTTTGGTGAGCAGAACTTTGGGGGAGAGATGGCGTAGGGAGTGGATTTATTTTGTAATTGATAAACACGTCATATTATTAAGTTTTTAAAAACTGTATGGCTTCAGTAAAAATTAAATTCCGTCAAAAATGGGAGAGGAAAATAGAAATTACTTGAAAAAGTAAGCTATAGAGAGAGAGAAGGAGAAATACAAAATTTGGAAGGATACCAAGAAGAGAACAGAAATCAGATTACAGGGGAAAAAAAGTTTTCTAAGGATACACTGACAGCTTACCCACAAATTAGTTTTTATGAGTTCTTTCACTAATTCCAGCCTTTATTAAATGGCAATTTTGTGACTAGTACTGCTGCCTGGGCTAACCAAGACTGAGGGTATAACCAACCTTTCTGAAGGAGCTACAAAGTATTTCGGAATACCAGATCTCTATACACAAACCCTACAAGGTAAGAATAATTATCCTCATTTTACAAACACAAAAGTATTATCAAAGGAGAAAATTAATCTGAATAAAAGCACAGAATTTATCACGGACAAAGTGGAGAGCCAAAATCAACTGCCCAGTTTCAAAGCTCATGCTATTTGGACAGTAAACTGCAGCCTGAAGAAGACTGAAAATTAAAACTACAGCAATTCATTTTTAACTTCCCTCCACTTAAAAAACAAAACAACAAAAAGAGCAGGAGTGAGTGGTTCAGAGGAAATAAAGAGAATAGAAGGGCCTTCTGGTTTCTGGCTGCCTTGTTCTTACAAGAAGTAAAAAGCTGAACAAACTGAAAAATTATCCATGAGAATACTGAGGTCACAGGGCAAACCACCACCCCTAAAATTAGAGAGCCATTCCGGCAGATGCAGAGAAGCATGACTTCCTGGAGCAGAAATCCCCTTGTGAATCTGCACCAGGGCAGGAAAACCTGAGCTGTCATTGGAGAACAGCAGGAGGCTGAGTCTGGATAAGTCTGAGTGATAAAAATCTCTAGGGGGCCCACTCACATACAGCCCCCCTAATAATTTTGCTCATTTTACCTCCAGGAGCTCTACTAAATTCTCACAGTGAAGATTAAAAAAAAAATCCCCTCCTGCTTCCTGCAGGTGTATGAGAAAAAGTAACCATTTTGAAAAGTAACCGGTTTGAAATACGCCAGAGTATTTTGTTTTTCTGTCCTCAGAACAAACACTGAGATAATAAAGAAAACATCTGACAAAGACTGCTTATGACAATTACTGTCTCACTGAAACAGAGGAGGTATTTTTTCCTTACCTCCTAGGGTGAAAGCAACACCAAGTGAAAATTAATTTTATGTATTATTTAAATGTAATACTTTAGTCCAAAATTCCTGGAAACCAGCCCGAGGCAAGGCTTTCCTGCTGAAGTTTGCTCATAATCCTTGGGAAGCAAGAGTGAGGGAAAAACGGAAGACACACAAGGAAAAAAAGGAAAATACAAGTGTTTATTATTTATCTGACCACAGAAATAGGAGGGGAAATTGCCAGTTGCTCAGACATTATAACACGCCTCTATTCAGGTTTTACAAAACCAACACACCTGAGGACATTTCACTGGCTTAGCAACCAGGAAGCAAGATTTATCTGCCAACAGCTGGTCAAACTTCACTCCACGGGATACCAACCCTCTGGCACTTCAGATTGTCATCCGGCCCCTCTGGCGGCTGTGGGAGAGGACAGAGCCCAGGGTGCTGCTCCTTCAAGAGCCCAGCAGTGAGCC